CGGCCGAGGCCGCGCTGCAGCTCCAGACACACCAGGGACAGCACCAGCACCCTCAGCACCTCCGGCAGCACCAGCGCCAACAGCACCTCCAGCGGCAGGACCTCCAGTAGCACCAGCAGCACCCGCAGCACGACCACCACCAGGACTGACAGTAGTAGTCTCAGAACCAGCACCCTCAGCAGCTCCAGCTCCAGGCGGACCCGCAGGCCCAGCAGCTCCGGGACCGGCGGCACCAGCACCCTCAGCGGTCGAAGAAGTGCCAGCTCCAGCAGTACGCCTCCAGCGGCGAGCAAACAACTCACGCAGCTCCTGTGGAGAGAGTGGCTCCCGCCGAGACGAAACACCCGGAGAACCTCCAGGCCCAGCACCGCCAGACGCCACAAGGGGAGGTCCAGTGGCCGCAGGCTCCACACCTCCAGGCTCAGCAGCTCCAGACGCAGCACCCCCAGGCTCAGCACCCCCGCGCGCAGCACCCCCAAAGGTAACACCCCCAGGCTCAGCACCCCCAGGCTCAGGACCCCTAGGCTCAGCACCCCCAGACCCAGCACCCCCAAGCTCAGCACCCCCAAACTCAGCACCCCCAGAGTCAGCACCCCCAGGCTCAGCACCCCCAGACTCAGCACCCCCAGAGTCAGCACCCCCAGGCTCAGCACCCTCAGGCTCAGCACCCCCAGCAGTACCTGAGTCACCAGCAACCTCGACCGGCTCGACTGCATCAACCTGGGACACACCTGAAGGGGCAGGACCCTGAGGGGGAAGGGGGTCTAACGGGGGGGGACCTGGCACAAGGAAGTGCGGTGGCGGGGGGAGGGAAGGAGTGCGGTAGGGGAAGAGGCGGTAGAAGGGGACGGACTCGTCGAACGTGACGTCCTGGGGGGACAGAACACGACGAGAGGAGGGGTGGTAGAACTACCACCTTGGGGCGTTAGGGGGGAAGCCTAGGAAGACACAGGGAGCAGCACGAGGGGACAGCTTGTCCGCAGACAAGTCGCGGACAAACGCCCGAGATCCCCAGACACGGAACGCAGACGCATCGCCGACCTTCCCCGTCCACAGCAGAGCTGGGGAGGTCTCCGGCCGGGAGACCCTGGGGTGAAGGTTGAGCTGATGCGCCGCGTACTAAACCGCAAACGGCCTTTGAAAATGGGGGGCAGCCGCATGCATCATGGACGTACGAGCGACGTCCATGACCATGCCAATGCGGCGCTCAGCAATCCCATTCTGCTGTGGAGAGTCCCGAAGCGTGAAGGTCTGGCGGATGCCTCGTGCACGACAGTAGGCTCGCACAAGGCCAGAGGAGAACTCTCCGCCTCGGTCAGAGTGCAGACGAAGAACAGGAAAATCCGAGCCGAAGCTCCTCCTGAGCTGGAGACGAGCTGCGCGGATTCAGTCGATCAACACCCGAGTGACATCACCCTTGCTGCGCAAGGGGAAGACCGTGGTGTAACACGAGTAGTCGTCAACCACCAGCAGGAAGTAGCGCTCGTGACCCTGTCCACGGACGCGGGCCGGGCCCCACACGTCCATGTGAAGCGTCTGCAGAGGAGCCTCTGTCGGGGGAAACTGGGAGGAGTGAGGGGCAGCCCGGAGCCGCCCCTCGACACAGGGGACACAGGAAGGTCCTGGCCCCGAAGGAAGGGGAGGGAGAAACCAGGGGAGACCAGAGACAAGGACACGGGAAGCCATGCCCCGAAGACGAGGCAAGGAGGGGTGGCCAAGACGGTGGTGCCACAAGAGAGTCTCGTGAGACAGGAGGCGACACAAGCAGGGGGCAGACTCAGGACCAGACCTGGACGCAGCAGCTAACACCTGACCCGACGCAGCTACCTGGCCAGACGCAGGGACTGGAGGAGACTCAATGGTCATGGTGTAGAGACTCGACCTGGGCCGACGGGAAACGTGGCTAGGTGTCGGCCTGTGCGGGCGTCCGAGCAGTGGGTCCCCCGCTGACTCGCAGGAGTAAACTGGTGAACCCCCACATCCTGCAGGTCACCACCACTCACCAAGTTCGTCGAGAACGAGGGGAGGTACAGACCCGACAGGGTGCCCGAGGGGGCAGCCGGACACGGGAGGACAGTGGAGAAGTGAGCGAGGACAGGACCCCCAGAGGGGTCAGCCAAGGAGACTGCAACCGGCCGACCAAGCGGCGTGAGTGTGGTGCGGTCTCGAAAGAAGGAGCGAGAAGCCCCTGAGTCAAGTGTGAAGGTGAGGGAGGCCGAAGCCGACGCAGTACCTGAGAGCGCAGCCTCACCAGTACCTGAGAGTGCAGACGCACTGGCACCTAGAGCAGTAGCCTCACAAGCACCTAGCGCAGCAGTACCAATGCCCGGGTCGGGCGGGAAACACCGGTAACAGTCACCCTCATCACTAATAGTCACAGCATACATGGCAGCAAGGATAGCATCAAATTCAAGATCAAAGATCGCTACGCCAGCCCTAGACAGCTCTCCCCAGCGGGGAATCTCACTAGCCTCGGGGAACTGCTGACGCCAAGCGTCCGTCAGGCGGCCAAAGCAGCGCTGGGTGGAGTGGGCACCCCCACACTGCTCACCCGCGCGGTCGCCAGAACGAAGAACGTAGGTGCACGGGCCAAGACCCCCACCACGCTGACGCTGCGTGTACCACTCACGGAGCTGCTGAGGCGGGGGGATGTCCCGAGAGCGCTGCTGCTGCTGCTGGTGCGGACCACCACCAGAGCCGCTCCGCTGCGGGGCACTACCCCGAACGGCTCCACCTCCTCCGCCACCGCCGCCTCCACCTCCGCCACCACCGCCGCCTCCGCTCCCACCGCCGCCACCGCCGCCGCCTCCACTGCCGCCACCACCACCACCACCCCCACCACCACTCCCACCGCCACCCCCACTCCCTCCGCCACCGCCACTGCCACCTCCACCGCCCCCACCAGCTCCACCCGCGCCCTTGCCCCCCTTGCCCTTGCCAGGGCGGCGTCTCCCGCTAGGGGCAGACGCCGCGCCGACCGACTCAAGACCAAGCAGGTCGGCAGCAGCAGCAGAGGCAACAGAGGGCAGCAGGGGGGAAGGAGAACACCCCTCAAAGATGGGGGTCCGCGGGTCACCACGAGAGGCTCCTACCGCGACTATGCTCTTCTCCGCCGCTAAGAGGGCCTTCTCGAGGAGGTCGACAGTGAGGGTGGTGGGACATACTGAGAGGAAGTGGTCCTTGACTACGCGAAGGGAGTTAGGGAGGCGAGTGACTATGTCATAGAGAGTGATGTACATGGGGGGGGGGGTTCTTGGCGCAGAATTTAAGGAGGAAGTGCGGCGCGGTAGCGAGTGTCAGAAGTGCGGAGGTGCGTGATGAGGTCAGCGACTGTAGGAAAGGCAGCAAGGTCAGGAAAGAGGTACGGTAGCATGAGGCGGCTCAGTGCAGCAGTGGCAGGGGAAGAGTAGCGCGCAACTACAGCGTCGTACAAGGTCTGAGCACTCTAGTACTGACTAAAGTGCGCGCGCTCAGTGGTAGGCAGGTGGCGACGCACAGCAAGACGTGCAGCAGCATCGCGGGTGGCCCACTGAGAGCGAACAGTGGGGTCAGCATCAGCAGCAGGAGCAGGGGAGGCGCCAGAGGTGAGGTCAAAGAGAGAAAGACCGTCCGCCCTATCGCACTGTAAAAACAGTTGCAGGTCGTCGACCCAGACCTCAAAGTCAATGGCTCGACCCTCAGCGTCAAAAGCGAGGACACTAGGGGTAGCCATGACGATAGACTAGCACTGCAAGCAGTGGGGGAAGGGCACGCAGTAGCAGTGGGGCTGTGCTCACCAGACAGGGCAGGTCGGGCGGCTCGGCAGTAGTGCGGCTCGGCTGCGGGGCGGCTCGGCGGTACAGCGGCTCGGCGGCCCGGCGGCTCGTCGGCTGCTGCTGGGCAGCTTGGCTGTACTGCGGCTCGGCGGCCCGGCGGCTCGGCGGCTGCTGCTGGGCAGCTCGGCTGCTCCGGTACCGGGCGGCGTGGCGGGCGGCTGCTCGGGCGGCTCGGCAGGAGGGGAGACCGGCGGGGCCGCGAAGGTGTGGGCGGCGGGGCCGCGACGTGAGGGCGGCGGGGCCGTGTAGGAGAAGGCGGCGGGGCCGCGTAGGCACGGGCGGCGAGGCCGCGAAGGTGAGGGCGGCGGGGCCGCGTAGGTGAGGGCGGCGGGGCCGCGTAGGTGAGGGCGGCGGGGCCGCGAAGGTGAGGGCGGCGGGGCCGCGAAGGTGAGACGGCGGGGCCGCTACGTGAGGGCGGCGGGGCCGCGACGAAAGGGCGGCGGGGCCGCGTAGGTAAGGGCGGCGGGGCCGCGAAGGTGAGGGCGGCGGGGCCGCGAAGGTGAGGGCGGCGAGGCCGCGAGGGTGAGGCGGCGGGGCCGCGACGTGAGGGCGGCGGGGCCGCGACGTAAGGGCGGCGGGGCTGCAACGTGAGGGCGGCGGGGCCGCGACGTGAGGGCGGCGGGGCCGCGACGTGAGGGCGGCGGGGCCGCGACGTGAGGGCGGCGGGGCCGCGACGTGAGGGCGGCGGGGCCGCGACGTGAGGGCGGCGGGGCCGCGACGTAAGGGCGGCGGGGCCGCATAGGTAAGGGCGGCGGGGCCGCGTAGGGGCGACACGGAGGGTCGCTAAAAAAAAAAGGAACGCGCGCCTCGGGGCGCGCTTCGGTGGGCCCTGGGAACAGTCCCTAGGAGGGGACCTGCTCTGATTCCATGTGAAAGAGTGAACGGGAATGAATGAACTATGAATGAAGTGGGTACAAGTACTAACCCTAATTGGGTTGTACCCCCTATGGGATACCCCACTATAGCCTACACAAAAGCATAAGCTATGATGTTCTGACAGAATTGACCATCGAGTTGTTGGAGAGGTCATCGTCCTCGTCCTCGCTTCAGCTAATTGCTGATACGGGGGGGAAGGGAGGGGGCCAGGAGGTTTAAGCAGGTTGCGGCAGAAGACGGCAGGGGTTGGGACAAGAACTTGAGGACCGAGTTGTTGGAGAGATCATCATCCTTCTTCCTCTTCCTCTGCTAGTAGCTGATGGGGGGAGAAGAGGGAAGGGGAGGTGGATAGCAGGTAGATTGAGGGTTTGCCTTGAGCAGGAGAGGGAGGCAGAACTTGACGATCGAGTTGTTGGAGAGATCATCATCCTCATCCTCGCTTCTGCTAGTAGCTGGGGAAGTGGAGGGGGGAAGGGTAGCAGGCAGAAGGAGGGTCTGACTGACATGTGCCTTGGAGTAGCTGGAGTCGAGAAAGAATGGGCAAAAAGGGCATAATAACTAGACCCCCGAGTTGTTGGAGAAATAGCCGTCCTCGTCCTCTGCCTCTGCTAGTAGCTGATGAAGAGGAAACGGGGAGGGGGGAAGGTAGCAGGAATCAGCAGGGGTTGGGGCGGAACTAGACCCCGAGTTGTTGGAGAGGTCGTCATCCTCGTCCTCCGCTTCTGCTAGTAGCTGGATAGGGAAGGAGAGGATGGGTGGGAGGGATGAGGGGAAAGAAGGAAGAGAGAGATGGGAGGAAAGGATGGACTGAGTTATAAGAGGAGAGTACGAGCAGAGCAGGGCAGCAAATAGCAGGTTCACTGCTATTAGCGCCTGAATGGCTGCAATGCCCACTTAGACATATCAAGGTGATGACTTCTGAGTAACCTCAACAACCCGCCACGCACCCCCTTCCTTTGCCTTGAACCTACATTGTAAGAGGAGAATATGAGCACCGTAACGAACAGCATGTTCACTGCTTCAAAGGCTTGGATGGCCGCAATGCCCAGACCTATCATGATGGCTCGGAAGATCACACCTCCGGCAATGCCGTACGTGAGCAGGCATGACGGGTTGAGGGGAGAAGGGGGAAAGGAGGGCGGGGAGGGGGTGGGGTGGGTGGGGGTTAGGAAGGGGGAGAAGGGGGAAAGGAGGGCGGGGAAGGGGGGTTTGTGTTAATCCATAGATCAGTAGACTATTCGAGAGTATAGAAGCACAGTATGTGAGGAAAACACCTCTTCGGATTATAGTGGTTAGAACCTGAGAGGTTGCAGGATAAGTATTCTGGGTGGATCTGAAAGGAAGACTGATGTGGTGCAACGGTAGTGGAAATTTGTGAAGGGGTGAGGTGGTAGTGGGAAGGGAAGGGGTGGTGGTGGGATGGGAAGGGGCGGTAGTGGGATGAGAAGGGGTGGTACTAGGGTGGTAGTGGTGTGAGAAAGGGTGGTACTGGGGTGGTAGTGGTGTGAGAAAGGGTGGTACTAGGGTGGTAGTGGTGTGAGAAAGTGTGGTACTAGGGTGGTAGTGGTGTGAGAATGGGTGGTACTAGGGTGGTAACGGGGTGAGAAGGGGTGGTAGTGGGATGGCAAGGATTTGTAGTGGCACTCACCTGGTAGGCTATAGGAAAAAATGATGAGGAGGAAGGCAAAGGGAGTCACACCAATAACAGTTGGTAGGAGTGGAAGTGGGATGGGAAGTGGCGGGATGGGAAGCGGTGGGGAGGGAAGCGTTGGGCCAGTAGTTGGAAGCAGTGGGAAGGGTTGGAAAGGGGTGAGGTGGCACCTGGTAGGTGGTAGACACTTTGAAATACGAAAAGATGAGGATGAACACAAAGAGATTTGCAAGTCGAGTCAGGTAAGGCGAGAGAGAGAGTGCCTTTTGAGAGCGAGAGGGAGAGCGTGATTACTTGGTAGGTGGTAGGCACTTTGAAGTAGGAGAAGATGAGACGAAGACAAAGAGATTGTCCACTGACAGGCGCCGCTCCAATAGATACCTGCCATGTGGCAAGCGATAGAGAGGCAAGATAAGACAAACAAATACTAACATAGGCTCCGGTCCAATGAATACCTGCCATGTGGAACGGTGCTCACTTGCTCACATGCAAGGACCTCAGCTCGTGAGTCATAAGCTCCTTGCACATGAGTGAGCACCACTCATCCAGTCAATCAAATGCAGAAGAGGCATGCAGCTTCAGTCGGACCGTTCATATTTCGATTGGACCGTGCACAATTCAGTTAGTCTGTCCACTTTTCAGTCAGTCCGTGCACAATCCAGTTAGTCTGTCCACTTCTCAGTCGGACTGTGCGCGATTCAGTTAGTCCGTCCACTTCTCAGCCGGACCGTGCGCGATTCAGTTAGTCCGTCCACTTCTCAGTCGGACCGTGCGCGATTCAGTTAGTCCGTCCACTTCTTAGTCGGACCGTGCGCGATTCAGTTAGTCAGTCCACTTCTCACTTGGACCGTACGCAATTCAGTTAGTCTGTTCACTTCTCAATTGGACCGTGCGCAATTCAGTTAGCCTGTCCATTTTTCAGTCGAACCGTGCGCAATTCAGTCTCAACATACAAAGGCTGTTGCTCGCACCAGATGTAGTGTAAGGGAGGGAGAGAGGAGGGGAGGAGGAGGAAGAGAGAATGATAGTGGGTGAGTGTTGTTTCTGATAACTGAAGACATTACTCCGTGACAAGTTGTAGAGGTTCGTTACAAAAACAATCGAGAATACAAGCTGATTTTATCAGCGTTATATAATGTTTTAAATGTCCTGATTGTTCTCAGAATCCGAGGGTCTTCATGACCATCTGCGTGATCTCCACGTTAGCAGGAGGTGAGAGAAGTGATAGGTCAAGCTCGCCAACGGTTGCCACCTTGGCAGCCACAGACTGGGGTACACACTTACATGGCTGGCTTGTGGCGGTTGGAGGGTTTGAAGGCCAGACATTATATTTTTTAAACACACTTGTGATGAGAAAGATGCCAATTGATAAGAATAAGAAAGCAAGCTTTCTCAATATGATGACACGTGAAATTCCTTGAGAAAAGAAATGTGCACCCATCATCCAATACGAAATTGATTATAACTGATTCAGAATAGTCTATGAGCAGAAACGTGCACCACTCATCCCAATAATTTATATGCATCCGGATACATGATTTACAAAAAAAAAGAAAGCTTTTTAAACCAGTGAAGCATATTTGCACATCTCCACCTACCATAAATGTGACTAGAACACGTTACAGGTTCTTTCACTCACCTTGGGAAAGTCAGTACTCACCGCAGTCGACCACCTTGAAATTAGCGCAGCTGCTTCGAGATTCTCCTGTTTCAAAAATATCAGCACCCTTGGGATTTTCTTTCTGAATTTTACAGTTCCTACTTCCATAAACTTGAGTATCTATGGGCTCCCCTGTAAGTAGGCCCGGATCCATTGGAGAGGACATACGCTGCGACTGAAGGAGAACTCGCGAATTGCTGTAGCCTTCGTTTTAGATAGGCGCTACGCAAAGCCCCATCCCAGTGATGCAATGCGATAACGTGGCGATTACTAATGCATTTGCAAAGAAATGTTTTCCCATTCGTCTCGCAGCCCGCATGGGAACTAGCTTTTGAGTCCATGATTCGTAGCGTTGAGTCATTTCAGGGTTTTAAGAGGTCGAATTGAGTGCACGTATACCCGACGCGAGAAGGCACGATGCCGAAGCCTCGCGTTTGGTCCAGTCCTGCAGTTAAGGGCAAGGCGTATCCTTTACCTAAGAAACGCCGCCCTTTAAAGCGCGTCTTACCTCTCCTCTTAATCGCCGTGGTTCTCGCCACCTGTTACTGCTACAGCCTACTAATCTCCTCCGAACCGCCCGACTCCGACCAATCAGAACGCTCCGTTTCTAGTGGCCTAGACCGGGATCGAGGTCGTATTCGCGGCTCGGGTAAGGGGAAGATAGAAAACACTAGCACTGGAGCCGAGTCGCTTGAAGACGAGTGGTCAGGGTACGGTCTAGGGAACCAACCCACTAGGATAAATGCGACCCATGTCGGCGCGATTGGTGCCGTGAGCTCCGCTACGCGGCGCGTGCGGCTTCAAGGAGGATGGAAGGAGCGGCGACAGCGAACGCGGGCTTTAAGAATGCAGTTAAAGGCGCGGCTACAGGCGGAAGCGGACGAGGGGGAATGGGGAGACGGGGAGGGGGAGGCGGAGGGGGAGGGGGGAGATGGAAGTCGGCGCGGGGAAGGGAAAGGGGGAGAAAGGGGAGGGCGAGGGGGAAGAGGCGCAGCGGAAAAGGGAGGGAAGGCGGGGAGAGGAGGCGACTTGCTGGATGCGCTTCGCTCGGGGATGGCGAAATCGCGATTCGCTTACGTGTTCATCGTTCATTCGTCTAGTCTGGTTGGTGGTTCGTTCCTGGTTCGGGTGGGGTTCGGGTGGGGTGCGGGTGGAGGGAAGGGGGAGGGGGAGGGGAGGAGGATGAGGGACTAGGGAGGAGGGGGAGAGTAGGGGGAAGGGGAGGAGGGGGGGAGTGGGGGGAAGGGGAGGAGGGAGAGAATTTTGTAGACGTCTCAAGAATCGTTAGTTCGTCTGATCTGGTTGGCGGTTCGTTCCTGGTTCGGGCTGGTGTGCGGGTGGAGGGAGGTTGGGAGATTGAGGGAGGAGGGAGGGGGAGAGGAGGAGGGGAGGGGGGGAGAGGGGGAGGGGAGGGGGGAGAGTGGGAGGGGAGGGGGAGAGGGGGAGGGGAGGGGGGGGAGAGGGGGAGGGGAGGGGTAAGGTTCAGCATGCGTTGACAACTGCTTATAACTTGGTTGGTTTCGCGTGATACGGAAATTTGTGTGGTAGTTTAGTTTTTTAAAGTAGGTGAGCGAAACAGCATCATTGTAACAAACACATTGTGATTGTAACATGCGTGTGGCTGTGGTGGGTGTTCTGTAACAACAGCGGGTGTTCGTTACAGATTCACTGTAACAGACACCTCGTTCTTGTAACATTCGTAACCATGTTTGTCTCTCTTTTCCCCGCTCCCACAATTCACTCGCTCCTCTCCTCAGTTCCTATTCTCCCAACTCCCCGTCTCCCCCCTCCCCTGCCTTTCGTTCCATAACCTCTCCTGTCCCCCCCCCACCAGTCTTTTGAGGCGCCTCAAAAGCCATAACCTCTCCTGTCCCCCCCCCCACCAGTCTTTTGAGGCGCCTCAAAAGCCATAACCTCTCCTGTCCCCCCCCCACCAGTCTTTTGAGGCGCCTCAAAAGCCATAACCTCTCCTGTCCCCCCCCCCACCAGTCTTTTGAGGCGCCTCAAAAGCCATAACCTCTCCTGTCCCCCCCCCCACCAGTCTTTTGAGGCGCCTCAAAAGCCATAACCTCTCCTGTCCCCCCCCCCACCAGTCTTTTGAGGCGCCTCAAAAGCCATAACCTCTCCTGTCCCCCCCCCCACCAGTCTTTTGAGGCGCCTCAAAAGCCATAACCTCTCCTGTCCCCCCCCCCACCAGTCTTTTGAGGCGCCTCAAAAGCCATAACCTCTCCTGTCCCCCCCCCCACCAGTCTTTTGAGGCGCCTCAAAAGCCATAACCTCTCCTGTCCCCCCCCCCACCAGTCTTTTGAGGCGCCTCAAAAGCCATAACCTCTCCTGTCCCCCCCCCCCACCAGTCTTTTGAGGCGCCTCAAAAGCCATAACCTCTCCTGTCCCCCCCCCCACCAGTCTTTTGAGGCGCCTCAAAAGCCATAACCTCTCCTGTCCCCCCCCCCACCAGTCTTTTGAGGCGCCTCAAAAGCCATAACCTCTCCTGTCCCCCCCCCCACCAGTCTTTTGAGGCGCCTCAAAAGCCATAACCTCTCCTGTCCCCCCCCCCACCAGTCTTTTGAGGCGCCTCAAAAGCCATAACCTCTCCTGTCCCCCCCCCCACCAGTCTTTTGAGGCGCCTCAAAAGCCATAACCTCTCCTGTCCCCCCCCCCCACCAGTCTTTTGAGGCGCCTCAAAAGCCATAACCTCTCCTGTCCCCCCCCCCACCAGTCTTTTGAGGCGCCTCAAAAGCCATAACCTCTCCTGTCCCCCCCCCCACCAGTCTTTTGAGGCGCCTCAAAAGCCATAACCTCTCCTGTCCCCCCCCCACCAGTCTTTTGAGGCGCCTCAAAAGCCATAACCTCTCCTGTCCCCCCCCCACCAGTCTTTTGAGGCGCCTCAAAAGCCATAACCTCTCCTGTCCCCCCCCCCACCAGTCTTTTGAGGCGCCTCAAAAGCCATAACCTCTCCTGTCCCCCCCCCACCAGTCTTTTGAGGCGCCTCAAAAGCCATAACCTCTCCTGTCCCCCCCCCCACCAGTCTTTTGAGGCGCCTCAAAAGCCATAACCTCTCCTGTCCCCCCCCCCACCAGTCTTTTGAGGCGCCTCAAAAGCCATAACCTCTCCTGTCCCCCCCCCACCAGTCTTTTGAGGCGCCTCAAAAGCCATAACCTCTCCTGTCCCCCCCCCACCAGTCTTTTGAGGCGCCTCAAAAGCCATAACCTCTCCTGTCCCCCCCCCCACCAGTCTTTTGAGGCGCCTCAAAAGCCATAACCTCTCCTGTCCCCCCCCCCACCAGTCTTTTGAGGCGCCTCAAAAGCCATAACCTCTCCTGTCCCCCCCCCCACCAGTCTTTTGAGGCGCCTCAAAAGCCATAACCTCTCCTGTCCCCCCCCCCCACCAGTCTTTTGAGGCGCCTCAAAAGCCATAACCTCTCCTGTCCCCCCCCCCACCAGTCTTTTGAGGCGCCTCAAAAGCCATAACCTCTCCTGTCCCCCCCCCCACCAGTCTTTTGAGGCGCCTCAAAAGCCATAACCTCTCCTGTCCCCCCCCCCACCAGTCTTTTGAGGCGCCTCAAAAGCCATAACCTCTCCTGTCCCCCCCCCCACCAGTCTTTTGAGGCGCCTCAAAAGCCATAACCTCTCCTGTCCCCCCCCCCACCAGTCTTTTGAGGCGCCTCAAAAGCCATAACCTCTCCTGTCCCCCCCCCACCAGTCTTTTGAGGCGCCTCAAAAGCCATAACCTCTCCTGTCCCCCCCCCCACCAGTCTTTTGAGGCGCCTCAAAAGCCATAACCTCTCCTGTCCCCCCCCCCACCAGTCTTTTGAGGCGCCTCAAAAGCCATAACCTCTCCTGTCCCCCCCCCCACCAGTCTTTTGAGGCGCCTCAAAAGCCATAACCTCTCCTGTCCCCCCCCCCACCAGTCTTTTGAGGCGCCTCAAAAGCCATAACCTCTCCTGTCCCCCCCCCCACCAGTCTTTTGAGGCGCCTCAAAAGCCATAACCTCTCCTGTCCCCCCCCCCACCAGTCTTTTGAGGCGCCTCAAAAGCCATAACCTCTCCTGTCCCCCCCCCCACCAGTCTTTTGAGGCGCCTCAAAAGCCATAACCTCTCCTGTCCCCCCCCCCACCAGTCTTTTGAGGCGCCTCAAAAGCCATAACCTCTCCTGTCCCCCCCCCCACCAGTCTTTTGAGGCGCCTCAAAAGCCATAACCTCTCCTGTCCCCCCCCCCCACCAGTCTTTTGAGGCGCCTCAAAAGCCATAACCTCTCCTGTCCCCCCCCCCACCAGTCTTTTGAGGCGCCTCAAAAGCCATAACCTCTCCTGTCCCCCCCCCCACCAGTCTTTTGAGGCGCCTCAAAAGCCATAACCTCTCCTGTCCCCCCCCCACCAGTCTTTTGAGGCGCCTCAAAAGCCATAACCTCTCCTGTCCCCCCCCCCCACCAGTCTTTTGAGGCGCCTCAAAAGCCATAACCTCTCCTGTCCCCCCCCCCCCACCAGTCTTTTGAGGCGCCTCAAAAGCCATAACCTCTCCTGTCCCCCCCCCCACCAGTCTTTTGAGGCGCCTCAAAAGCCATAACCTCTCCTGTCCCCCCCCCCACCAGTCTTTTGAGGCGCCTCAAAAGCCATAACCTCTCCTGTCCCCCCCCCCCACCAGTCTTTTGAGGCGCCTCAAAAGCCATAACCTCTCCTGTCCCCCCCCCCCACCAGTCTTTGGAGGCGCCTCAAAAGCCATAACCTCTCCTGTCCCCCCCCCCCACCAGTCTTTTGAGGCGCCTCAAAAGCCATAACCTCTCCTGTCCCCCCCCCCCACCAGTCTTTTGAGGCGCCTCAAAAGCCATAACCTCTCCTGTCCCCCCCCCCCACCAGTCTTTTGAGGCGCCTCAAAAAGCCATAACCTCTCCTGTCCCCCCCCCCCACCAGTCTTTTGAGGCGCCTCAAAAGCCATAACCTCTCCTGTCCCCCCCCCCACCAGTCTTTTGAGGCGCCTCAAAAGCCATAACCTCTCCTGTCCCCCCCCCCCCCACCAGTCTTTTGAGGCGCCTCAAAAGCCATAACCTCTCCTGTCCCCCCCCCCACCAGTCTTTTGAGGCGCCTCAAGAGCCATAACCTCTCCTGTCCCCCCCCCCCACCAGTCTTTTGAGGCGCCTCAAAAGCCATAACCTCTCCTGTCCCCCCCCCCCACCAGTCTTTTGAGGCGCCTCAAAAGCCATAACCTCTCCTGTCCCCCCCCCCCACCAGTCTTTTGAGGCGCCTCAAAAGCCATAACCTCTCCTGTCCCCCCCCCCACCAGTCTTTTGAGGCGCCTCAAAAGCCATAACCTCTCCTGTCCCCCCCCCACCAGCCTCTTCCCACCCCTCCCTCCTGTCCTCTCCACGTCCCCCATTTGTCCTCCCCCTCCCCCTTCCCCCTCCCCCTTCCCCCTCCCCCTTCCCCCTCCCCCTTCCCCCTCCAACCCCAACACCTTACAGCTCCGCCCAATGATATGACAGCTCAAGCACTCCGCATCTTCTCCTCCTCTCCTCCTCCGTTCCCCGCCGACCCTCCACGCTGCTGCCCCTCATTTCCACCTCTTCCTCCCCTCCCTCCCCCCCCTTCCAGCTCCGTCCGGCCATAGTGGCGGCTCAGGCCCTCCGCTTCTCCTGCACCCCCCACGACCTCCTCCTCCTCCTCTCCTCCTCCGTACCCCGCCAACCCTCCACTCTCCCCCTCATTTCCCCCCCTCCCTCTTCCCCCCCCCCCCCCAAGCTGCGCCCGGCCATAGTGGCGGCTCAAGCCCTCCGCTTCTCCCGCACCCCCCACGACCTCCTACTCCTCCTCTCCTCTTCTATGCTTTAATTATCTCCTCTTCCCCCCCTCCACCCACCCTTCCCCTCTCCCCATTCCCAGCTTCGACCAGCAATAGTGGCAGCTCAAGCCCTCCGCTTCTCCCGCACCCCCCACGACCTGCTGCTCCTCTCCTCCTTAATGCCCCCCATTTCTCTCCCCCCTCTCCCCTTCCACCCCAACAATTATACTTCCAGCTCCGCCCGGCCATAGTGGCAGCTCAAGCCCTCCTCTTCTCCCACACCCCCTCATTCTCCCCCCTCCCTCCTCCCCTCCCCTCCCCTCCCCCCTTTCCAGCTCCGTCCGGCTATAGTGGCAGCTCAAGCCCTCCGCTTCTCCCGCACGCCCCACGACCTGCTTCTCCTCCTCTCCTCCTCCGTACCCCACCAGCCCTCCACTCTCCCCCTCCCCCTCCTCCTCCGCCACTTCACAGCCGTCATCCCCCTCCCGGCCAATCACCTTCAAGGAGCCGCCGTCGCGGCCAATCCACTGCTAGTGGCGAACCCGGGCGGCGGAGGGGCGGCGGGCAGAGGGGGATCGGGCGGCGGAGCTGGTGGGGCGGCTGGGGATGGTTTGGGGACCAATCAGGGGGCGGGGATGGCAGGGGGGGGGTCTCCGGTGGAAGGTTACTGGAAGCTTCATGTGTGGCGGTTGGTGGAGTATGACTGGGTGTTGTATCTTGATGTGGATGTGCTTATAACGAGGAATTTGGATCACCTGTTCCCTAGTAACGCGGAGGATGGCAGCAGCAACGTCAGCAACAGCAGCAGCAGCAGCAGTAGCAGCAGCAGTGGCGGCGGCAGCAGCAGGAGCAGCAAGGGAGCAGACAGGGTCGAACCTTCACCAGATAACACCTCCCCCCACAGGCAGCCCTGTCCCGAACCTCTGGCTGCCGCACCTGACGTGTACGAGGCTGACCGCTTCAACGCAGGCGTGCTGCTGGTTCGGCCGAGCCTCGCGGTGTTCCGGCAGATTGTGAGGCGAGCCAAGGTGGTGGCTGCTGCCGTGGCTGCTCGCGCTGGTGCCATGCCTAACGACCAGGTATGGCAGACTGGCGCCATGCCTAACGACCAGGTATGGCAGACTGGCGCCATGCCTAACGACCAGACCAGGTATGGCATATTCCCTCGGAAAGACTTTGAGACATATTCCAGCGAGGGGAAATGGGAACAGGGGGAGGGGAGATGATGATGTTTTCCCTCGGAAAGAGCTGTCGATGATGTTGTTTTACCACTGCTACCACACCCACCCGTCCTGCTCCTCCCCCTGTTCCCATTTCCCCTCTTTCTGGCCCATGTCCCCTCCTACCACTCATGCTCCCCCCCCCCATACACCCCCCTGCCGTCCCATGTCCTTCCTGCCGCTCCCTGCTCCCCCTGCTGCCTCCTCTCCCCCGTTGCAGGATTTTCTCAACTCGGTGTTTCGCCACTGGTTCAATACCCACCACCCCTCCTGCCGCCTCCTTTCCTCCTCCTGTTCACCGATGCCCCCAATTGCCCCTTCCTGATCCCCCACTCCTTCCCCATCGCAGGACTTTCTCAACTCAGTGTTTCGCCACTGGTTCAAGTCCCACCCCTCCTGCCGCCTCCTTTCCTCCTCCTGTTCACCGATGCCCCCAATTGCCCCTTCCTGATCCCCCACTCCTTCCCCATCGCAGGATTTTCTCAACTCGGTGTTTCGCCACTGGTTCAAGTCCCACCACCCCTCCTGCCGCCTCCTTTCCTCCTCCTGTTCACCGATGCCCCCAATTGCCCCTTCCTGATCCCCCACTCCTTCCCCATCGCAGGATTTTCTCAACTCGGTATTTCGCCACTGGTTCAAGTCCCACCCCTCCTGCCGCCTCCATTTCACCACCACCGCCATCCTCCACTTCCCCCTCCCCGCGTACCAACCTCCCCCCTGGCTGCCCCAACTCACTCACCCGCTCTTCCCCCTCCCCCCCCTGCCCCCTTGCTCCCTTTTCCCCTGTTCCTCCTGCCCCCCCCGCTCCCCTGCTTCCCCTGCCCTGTTCCCTCTGTTCCACTCCCCACCTCTCCCCCATCACCAGGATTTTCTCAACTCGGTGTTTCGCCACTGGTACAAGTCCCACCCCTCCTGCCGCCGCTGACTCATGCCCTCCCTGTTTCCCCATGCCCCTCCCTCCTGCTCCCATCACCAGGATTTTCTCAACTCGGTATTTCGCCATTGGTTCAAGTCCCACCCCTCCTGCCGCCTCCCCTTTACCACCAACGCCATTCTCCACTTCCCCCTCCCCTGGTACCAACCTCCCTCCTGGTTACACCCCCCCTGCGGCCCTGACTGCGCCCCGCTGCACCTAGGACCTGTTCACACAGTGCACTTCGCCAACCCCTGGTTTAAGCCCTGGCTCTTTCTGAACACCCCCTTGGACCAGCTGGTCCCTGGGAGTCAGGAGCTGGGCTTTAAGGGTACTGGGAACGGGGTTGCTGCTGGTAGCGCTGCTGCTGCTGTTGGTGCTGCTACCAGTGCTGCTGGTGGTGCAACTGGTAATGCTGCTGCTGCTGCTGCTGCTGCTGTTGCTGCTACTAGTAACGCTGCCACTGCTTCTAACTCCGCTTCCTGTGCTTGTGGCTGTGCCACCACTCCAGACCACTCTCCACACCATTCCTCCTCCTCCCCTTCCATATCTACCCACCCCCTCCTCGCCGGACCTCTCCCGTACCTGTCCGAAACCGACCAAGCCTGGGGGTTCTGTTCGGTGTGGTGCCGAGCCTGGCTGGCCCTGTACTGGTCGCTGCAGCAGGGGGAGTGGGCGGCTCCCTTGGGGGAGGGGGCGCACTGTGTGGGGCAGGGGCAGGGGAAGGGGCAAGGAAAGGGCACGGAGGGGGAAGCGGGGGGCATGGGGGAGGGGAAAGGGGGGAGAACAGTGGAAGGGAAGAGCGAGGGGAAGGGGGGATTGGGGAGGGGGTTAAAGGGTTGGGCAGATGAAGCAGGAGTGGCAAACTCGACAAGTTTGCAGCTGCCCCTGTCACGAGCAGGAGCTGTAGATCTAGGCAACAGGGGCATAATGAATTTAAGTAGGACAGGAGCTGTGAAGCTAGGGAAGGTGGGAGCAGGGAAGGCGGGAGCAGAAAAGGGAGCAGAGAAAGGGGGAGCAGTGGAGGGGGGGAAGGAAGGAGCAGGGGAGATAAGGAAGGAGGGGGCAGAGGGGCTAGGAGAGAAGGTCGCAGTGAGGTTGGGGAGAGAGAGGGAAGAAGTGGAGAAGGTGCGGGCAGTGAGGCTGGGAAAAGAGGCAGCAATGAATTTGGGGAAGCAGCAGGTAGGCAACGGGAGCACCACACCACTCCCTTCCCTACCACCTTCCATCCCGTCCCCCTCGTCATTTCTTACCTCGCCGCCTCTCTCCTCCTCCTCCTCCTCCTCCTCCTCCTCCTCCTCCTCCTCCTCCTCCTCCTCCTCCTCCTCCTCCTCCTCCTCCTCCTCCTCCTCCTCCTCCTCCTCCTCCTCCTCCACCTCCTCCTCCTCCTCCTCCCCTCCTCTTGACACCTCAAACACACCTCCTCCTTCACCGCCCACTCCCACTTCGTCTCCTCTCTCTCCGCCCCCTCCGCCCACTCCCTCCCCATCTCCCCTCCTCGCCGCTCCAGTGTGCTCCTGGGCTGGAGTGGCACAACTAAGATGGGTAGGGTTAATTCCAGAGCTTCATCTCGATACGGCCCTCCTTGCACCCCCCGCCTCCTCCTCTTCCTCCTCCTCCTCCTCCTCCTCCTCCTCCTCCTCCTCCTCCTCCTCCTCCTCCTCCTCCTCCTCCTCCTCCTCCTCCTCCTCCTCCTCCTCCTCCTCCTCCTCCTCCCTTCCCTCTTCCTCTTCCTCCTCCACCACCTCCACCTCCTCTTCTCATTCCTCCTCCTCCTCTTCGCTTTCCTCCTCCTCTCCTTGCCCCCCTCCTCACCTCCCTCAATGGCTCTGGTCCCCCTCCTCCCTCCCCCCCTCGCTTCCACTCGCCTCTTCTGATACGCTCAATGACCCACCACTTCCATTACACTCCCAGCATCAGCAACAGGGAAACGAGCAGGAGAAGCAGCCGAACCGGCCGCAGCAGCAGCAGCGGCAGAAAGAGTACGAGCAGCAGAGGTTACATGGTAACCGTAACCATAACCGTGCCAAGCACAGCAGCCATGGTGGTGGGTATGCCAAGTCGCAAGCAGGCACCTCTAGGTCCCTCGCGTCCACCTCTGCCCTCGATTCCTTCTTCGACCCTCTCGAGTCCTCCCTCTCCTCCTCCTCTTCCTCTTCCTCATCTGTAAAAGACAGCAGTGAGTCAGGTGCTGAGACCAAGGCAGGGAGAGCAGGCAGCTCGCGATCCCTGGCTTCTACCTCTGCCCTCGACTCCTTCTTCGACCCTCTCGAGTCCTCCTTCTCCTCCTCCGCATCTATAAAAGAAGGCAGTGAATCATCATCATCAGCAGCAGCAGCAGCAGCAGCAGCAGCAGCAGGTCAGCCAACCAAGGCAGGGAGAGCAGGCAGCTCGCGATCCCTGGGTTCTACCTCTGCCCTCGACTCCTTCGACCCTCTTGAGTCCTCCTTCTCGTCTTCCTCCTCCTCTTCATCTGTAAAAGACAGCAGTGAGTCAGGTGCTGAGACCAAGGCAGGGAGGGCAGGCAGCTCCAGGTCCCTCGCCTCCACCTCGGCTCTCGACTCATTCTTCGACCCTCTCCAGTCCTCCCTCACCACTAGTCATAGCACTCAACAACCCAAGGCAGGGAGAGCAGGCAGCTCCAGATCCCTCGCCTCCACCTCTGCTCTCGATTCCTTCTTCGACCCTCTTGAATCCTCCTTCTCCTCCTCCTCTTCCTCCTCCTCATCCGGTTCTGTAAGCAAGAGCGGTGTTGCTTTGGGAGCAGCAGCAGCAGCAGCAGCGGCAGCAGGAGCAGGAGGAGCGTCAGGAGCGCGATCAAGAGCGGTTGAGAACGGTTACAAAGGGAAGAGATCGACAGCAGGGTTAGTATCTGTCACCGGATTGGCTGGTTTCAATGCTGAGGAAACTTCCCAGAAACACGAGCAGCAGGAGCAGGAAAGGCAGAGGCAGGCAGAGGAAGGAGTGTTTGCTACAGTGCTGACGTCAGCGGCTGACATCATCCCCGTGGCCGTGTGGATCCGATCCTTCCGCCGCCATCATTGCGGGCGGGCAGACGAGACAAATAGCACCGGTGGCGGCATTGTCAGCTCTGGCACTGATGCCTCAGCAGTGTTATCTAAAGATGGGTCTACAGGGAAGCATGGCAAGCAGAAAATGAGGCATGGGTGGGGGAGGAGGGGGGAGGAGAGAAGCAAGAAGAGGGGTGGAGGAGGAGGGGGAGGAGGAGGGGGAATGGGAGGACGGGAGGAGGGGAAGGGGGCGGAGGGGATGGGAGAAAGGAGGGTGATGAAGGGCGGCCGGGCCGGTGTGGATAAGGACAAGTGTCGCCGTACGCTGCTGCTGGTGTCGTCTAAAGTGGCCAAGGAGAAATGGGCGCCCTATGACTTTGAGGTGAGTGAAACAGAAACGCTTCTCTTCAAATTCGAGACGTCTCAAGACTGTTTGGACTGACCTGATCAACTCAGTTGTCCTGGGCTGCTGCTGGTGTCGTCTAGAGAATGGCCAAGGAGAAATGGGCGCCATACGACTTTGAGGTGAGTGGAAGTCTAGTTTTGAGGCGCCTCAAAACTTGCCTCAAGGTGAGTGGAACAGAAACGTTTCACTTCAGATTCGAGACGTCTCAACACTGTTTAAACTGACCTGATCAGCTATTGGTCAGTCCAATGATCAGCTACTGATCAGCTATTGGTCAGTCCAATGATCATGTACTGATCAGCTATTGGTCAGTCCAATGATCATGTACTGATCAGCTATTGGTCAGTCCAATGATCATCTACTGATCAGCTATTGGTCAGTCCAATGATCGGCTACTGATCAGCTCGGCTGCCCTGGGCTGCTGCTGGAGTCGTCTAGAGTGGCCAATGAGAAATGGGTGCCATACAAATTCGAGGTGAGTAAAACGAAACCGCTGCTTTCGCTGTTTTTTTTCTTTCTAACCTAGGATCTTGGTGAGGCTTGTCAGGTCTTTTGATGCAGCTCCGTATGCGAGTATGAAGACAAAATTTCCTGTATACTCGGATCATCATAGTGAGTATAGTTAGTGTGTTCTGTTCTGTCTGTGGTCCGTGTGTGGTTCACTGCACTGCACCCAGTCTCTGTGCGCCACTCATCCAGATCCCCTCCCGTTACTCCCTCCTGCTCCCACCTCCTCAATCCCACGGCCCCGCCCCTCCCCCTGTCACCACCCCACAGCCTCTCTACGGGTCCGTGCGTGTGGTCGAAACCAATCTCTGTGCCCAGCCCACTCACTCCACTCACTGCCGTCCCGCTCTCCCCTCCTCAACCCAACGGTCCCACCCCTCCCGTCTCTATACCCCCCACCGCAGTCTCCCTTCTGGTCACTGTGTGTGGTCGAGTCGACCCTGTCTTTCTGCACTGCCCATCTACTACTCCCTCTACTCTCTCCTGCTCCCACCTCCTAAACCCCATATTGGTGCGACTTTTGAGAATTCTCAAAAGTGTGTGGTCGAATCGACCCTGTCCTTTCTGCGCCGCCCATCCACTCCCTCTACTCTCTCCTGCTCCCACCTCCTGAACCCCATGCTCCCGCCCCTCCTCCCCCGGTCACCACCCCACAGTCTCTCTTCTGGTCCGTGCGAGTGGTCGACCCCGTCTCTGTTCATCGCCCATCTACTCTCTCCTGCTCTCACCTCCTGAACCCCACGACCCCCCCCCTTCCCCCTCTGCCTTTTGCCACACAACACAGTCCCTCTTCTGGTCCGTGCGAGTGGTCGACCCCCTCCCTGTGCGCCGCCCATCCACTCCCTCTACTCTCAGAGGTGACTTTTGAGTCGACTCAAAAGCTCCCTCTACTCTCAGAGGTGACTTTTGAGTCGACTCAAAAGCTCCCTCTACTCTCAGAGGTGACTTTTGAGTCGACTCAAAAGTCACCTCGACCCCCTCCCTGTGCGCCGCCCATCCACTCCCTCTACTCTCACCCCAATCTCTACTCTCCCCTACACACTTTACAACCCCCCCACCTCCCCACATTTTCAACCAACGCAGTCACTCTCCTGGTCCGTGCGAGTTGTTGACCCCATCTCTCTGCGCCGCCCATCCACACACGCTACTCCCTCCTGTCCTCGCATCCTGAACCTCACAATCCCACCCCTTCCCCCCCTCCCTTTCACCAACCCCCACAGTTACTCTTCTGGTCCGTGCGAGTTGTTGACCCGAGTCTCTGTGCGCGCCGCCCATCCACTCACGCCACTCCCTCCTGTCCTCACATCCTGAATCCCACGTTCCCCCACCTCCCTCCCCCCTCGCTCCACCCCCTCCCCTCATTTTCAACCCACGCAGTCCCTCTTCTGGTCAGTGACAGTGGTCGACCCGGTCCCACTCTCACTCCAATCTCTACCCTCTCCTGCACACTCCCCTCTCCCGTATCCCTGTCGCCCCCCTGCAGTCGCTCTTCTGGTCCGTGCGAGTGGTCGACCTCGTCTCTGTGCAACACCCGCCAGCTCGTGCCGCCCGACCTCTGCCGCCCGACTTCATGATTCTACGGCTGTGGCAGCAGGTGGGTTCAGTTAACGTGGCAGGTGGGGTGGCAGGCAGGCAGGTGGGATGGGCAGCAGGGGGGTGGGTGTATTGCAGTGGTTGGGTGGGGTGGGGTGGGGTATGATGGAATTTGTGGGGATAAGGGGAGGGGGCGGCAGCAGGTGGATGGGTGTATATTGCAGTGGTTGGGTGGGGTTATGGAAACAAATGGGAGTCAAATGAGAGTCAAATGAGAGTCAAATGAGAGTCAAAAGAGAGTCAAATCAGGGTATGATGGAAGCTGCAGGGATAGGGGAGGGGGCGGCAGCAGGTGGATGGGTGTATATTGCAGTGGTTGGGTGGAATTATGGAAACAAATGAGAGTCAAATCAGATCCGAGTGTGGTGGAAGCTGCAGGGATAGGGGAGGGGGTGGCAGCAGGGGGTTACGGTGATGGCCACAGGAATGACAACAGGGAATAGCAGGCGTGGGCCATTGTAAAGGGATGACTAAGGAGTTGTCTTTGAGTTGACTCAAAAGGTGGGTGGAGCGATGGCCACAGGAATGGCAACATGGAATAGCAGACACGATAACGCTTCTTTCGAAACCTCTTCTCCCACTCTCCCTCTTCTGGCGAGCCTGCCTGCCTCTCCACCTCTTCTCCCACCACCGCCCCTTCACTGCTGCCCCCTGCCGCTGTACCCTTTGCCCCTGCCCGTTTTCCCCCTGCCCGTTTTTCCCCTACCCGTTTCCCCCCTGCCCGTTTTCTCCCTGCCCCATTTCTCCCTGTCTCCCTTCCGCCCCACCAACCATCAGACGGACATCCCACTCATTGCCTACGTTCATCCGCTCTCCCTCTTCTGGCGATCCTGCCTCCAACTCTTCTCCCACCACCGCCCCTTCACTGTTATCCCTCTCTCCCTACCCCCTCTCTCCCTGCCACCCTTTCCCCTGGCTCCCTTATCCCTCTGCTCCAACCCCAACCAACAGGTCGACATCCCACTCGTTGCCTACGTTCATCCCCTCTCCCTCTTCTGGCGCTCCTGCCTGCAACTCTTCTCCCACCACCGCCCCTTCGTTTCTGCTCACCTCCCAACCCCCCTGTCTCCCTCCCGTCCTCCCCCCCCCTCAATATCCACAGACCGACATCCCACTCATCGCCTACGTGCATCCCCTCTCCCTCTTCTGGCGCTCCTGCCTCCAACTCTTCACCCACCGCCAACCCTTCGCCGCCGCCTCTCTCTCCCTGCCTACTCCCATACCCATGCTCCCCACTCCCTGTCCCCCTCTTCCCCCCAAATATCAACAGGTTGACATCCCACTCGTTGCCTACGTGCATCCTCTCTCCCTCTTCTGGCGATCCTGCCTGCAACTCTTCTCCCACCACAGCCCATTTGCCGCCGCCCCTCTCTCCCTGCCTCCTGACCGCTTCTCCACCTCCACTCTCCTCCTCGCTCCCTCAGAGAACCTCTATCAGGTGCGTCTATTCTAAATCCCTCATTGCCTGGTACGTTGTCACTGTTTCATGCTCCGCGCCCCTCTCTCCCTTCCCCGGACCGTTTCTCCACCGCCACGCTCCTCCTCGCTCCCTCAGAGAGCCTCTATCAGGTACGTCAAGGTTGCATGTGCGCTCTCTGTGCCTCCTGCTCTCAGCCCCCTGCCCTTCTTCCTGATCGTTTCTCCACCGCCGCGCTCCTCCTCGCTCCCTCAGAGAACCTCTATCAGGTGCGTCTATTCTAAATCCCTCATTGCCTGGTACGTTGTCACTGTTTCATGCTCCGCGCCCCTCTCTCCCTTCCCCGGACTGTTTCTCCACCGCCACGCCCCTCCTCGCTCCCTCAGAGAACCTCTATCAGGTAATTATACTCTACACCACGCTTCTCATGTGATTCGCATGTGATTCTCATGCGATTTTCATGCGATTTGCATGTGATTCTCATGCGATTCTCATGTGATTCTCATGAGACGTCTCAAAGACACCGTCTCTACTCGGACTGTGCCTTTCTGGCGCGCCTTTTTTTCGAGCTGACTTTTGAGCCGACTCATAGTCAGCTCGGTATAATGTCACATCACACCCTCACTACTCCGAGCGTGCCTTTCTGGCGTGCCTTTTTTTTTTTGTTCGATGTACATTTCTTCTCCATTTAAGTCTGGTATTTTTGCTTAATAGGTGGAATAGGCATGTGTGCAAGCTTTGAGTGTTGAGAACCTATTCCAAGTGCGCACATGCTTTGGCATGTAACCATTTCTTTCTTTGCTCATGTCTACCAAGAACAAGTGTGCACTTCATTGTTTTTTCCTTCGCATTCCTCCATCCCCTTCACCCCTTCCCGACCACAGACCTTCATGAATCATCAATCATTACAACTCTTCCCAACCGCATCGTTCTTTGCCATCTAATCCCATCGGTTCATCCTTCCAAATCCCTATCTGCTTCACCCCTTCTCCTCCACCACACGCCTTCATCAATCATCTGTCATCGCCGCTCTTCCCAGCCGCATCTCTCAACCATTGACTGAACCCCCCTCATCTCTATGTTTCTTCCTTCCTTTTTCCGCCATCCCCTTCACCCCTTACCCACCGCAGGCCCTCATGAATCGTCTAATCATCACCACTTTTCCCAACCTCTTTTCTAAACCATTTTCTGAATGAGCTTACTACGCCTCGTTCACCCTCACCCCAACCCACTGCTTCCCGCTCTCATTGTTCCTTCCTTCCTTCCTTCCTTCCTTCCTTCCTTCCTTCCTTCCTTCCTTCCTTCCTTCCTTCCTTCCTTCCTCCCTTCCTTTCCCCTTCCTTTTCCCGCCGTCCCCTTCACCCCTTCCCCACCACAGGCTTTCATGACTCGTCTATCATCGCCTCTCTTCCCAACCGACTCCGTAAACCATTTCCTAAACGCCGCGTACTCTTCCTGGTACACCTCCCCTCCAGCCCACCGCCTCCCCCTCTCATACGCCACGCCTCTCGCTCTCAAGCCCTACACGCTACCCTTCCTCGCCCCGTTCCATATAATCACATTCGACGGCGCTGTGCCTCCTTATGGGAACATGACGGAGTGGAGGGGGCAGCCTAGGTTCCGGGTTGTGCTTGTATGGAGGAAGATTTTTTGTGGCTTGCCTGCGGAACTGCGCACTTCCAAATTTAGGAAGTTGTGTAGATGAATCTTTGTTAACATACCATAACAAACTTTTGCAACAAACTTCTGCAGACTTCCTATCCAACCCATTCTATTCAAATTTATTTTACCAGGAAAGCACTACAACTTCTAAAATGCAATTAGGTGTTCGTTTTGTAGTAGATTGGTGTTATTTTAATATTTCTACAACGATGCGGAATAGTTCCCATATGTGTTTAACTATGGGTTTACATAATTCCTAAACAACCCTGAACAAACTAGGGTCTGAAATCCAATGGTTAATGAATGTGAAATAGCAGTAAACATTTTGGTAGGCCTATATGTTTAATTTCTTGAGCGATGGAACTGGGGCTTCTTCTAATGCGAACAAAAGCGAAAGCAGCTCCCAGGAAGGACAACAATTCAGGGGCGGGAAGATGGTGAAGAAATATTCCCACATGGCCGCAACTAGCGTGGCCAATAGCGACGCAGCGCTGTCCGAGACAACATCCCCCAGCATGCCGTGTCGGCACAGAAATTTCTCCAATTTCAAATGGCGCGTGGGACATTTGATTTTCTTCTCTTCCCCTTCGCACGACATTTCATCCACAATTGCTCACAAAGAGACTGCGCTGGGAGCACCCACACCAGACTCTGTCCCATGTAGTGTCACTTCCTCGACAACAATAAAAGCTATATCTTGCTGTTTCCCGTGTGTGCTTCGATTCCTATTTGCTCCCGAGCGCGTAATGTCCTGCTCCTGCTCAGCCCCTCCTCTCTTCTCATGCTCCTGCTCATAGCTTTCATCTGATATGAGCCCTCGTTAGCCTTTTCAACCGTATGAAACATACTATGCCGTAATACATTCATTGCGTAGTTCACAGTAGTACGCAAATTACCTTTCCATAATACGGCTCATATTTACTGGTATTAGAGCTGAACCTTCCCTCCTCCTCCGAAATTTCTCAGCAGCATTTACGCCTCAAAAGCACGAGTCAAACGACGTATCGTAGCTGCTACCACTTGCATCGCCTAATTGATGGCGATATCAATATGCACGCGCTTCTCGTTGCGCCACCTCCCGCTCGCGCTCCTCGTGCTTGCGCTCATTACTCCCATCGCGCCCGCGCTGTTGATTCTCGCTCTGGTCTTCACCGCGTCGCCCGCTGACGGCGTCAAGTGCGGCGGAAAACGCGGACCATATGAGAGCGAACGAGACTCGTTGGAGTACGAATCGTCGAACATGTAAGCGCTAAAAAAGATTGGCGCATTCGGTGTGATTGAAACACACCCAGGGGTCAACCCTGACCTTAAAATTGTGTACGTGGTACGAATTTCGTCGCTGGAAAACAATTCCCTTTTGAGTGCAGTCGTTCCCGTATCCTGGTCGCTGATAACATTATTTCGCCATTCTTAATGCGAGTAACCGTCCACTTTCGTTCCCTGAAACAGGAGCACAAGTCGAATGAAGAACTGCCAACCTCACTCGGTGATTTGGTGCTGACACTATCCCGCTCATCCCCGCTACAAGCACTCTCGCTGCTACCAACCCGACTCCACAAACTGGTGATGACCGCACTGCGGCTGCGAGACGTTACAGCGTTACGAATTTGCGGCATCGTGGCTTTGCCGGGTTGCGACGGGCGCCCTTGCAGCACGAAATGCTCGGGAATTCACGATACGCGAAAGAATTTCAATCATGCGAAATTCATCCTTAGTACTAGAAACGCGCTTCCTCAGTAACACACATTTAGCAGACTTGCTACTGGCGCCTCCTTTTCCTCCTGCTGCTACCATCTCGTAGCCAACGTGGTGCGTGGCGGGAAGATCAGGCCGCACACGGGAAATTGATGTCGCATTGCTTTCAGGTTACTCCCAGGAAGTTTGGGTGAGGTGGCGGGAAAATGATGATCAGGCAGGGGCTGTTTTACGAGGCTAGGCTAGTGAGTTGTGTTCTGATGGATCAGGTGCTAGTATGCGTGTTGCTCGCAAGTAAAAAATCTTGATTTCATCCACCTGTTCAACATTTAGAAAAACAAGATTAGGCAGCTGTATTGAAGAAGCAGCTAAAATAACTCAAATACTGCAATCATGAAAAGTGATTGCTGCTATTTTTCAAACTAGATTGTTTATTGCCTAGCATGACCAGAAACAAGATTACCAATATGCACAATAGCATTATCAATACAATAGCAATTTCCCAATTTTAGTATAGCACGAGCAATGCCCAAGCTTCCTGCAACATCCACATGCATAGTCTACAGCCAACATCATCAGGATTATACGAGGGAAATCAAATTAGGTGCTTGGTTTGCGCTTGTCCTATTTGTCGCATATATTTGTAATCATGTCCACGCATGTGTACATCTGGAGAGTATAGAATCCTTACACTTCACACGGTACGTTATTTTTAATGGTATTTTGAAGCTCATTCTTGAGACCTTGAACTCTTTGAGATGGTTGCCATAACGACTCTACACTTCTTCCATCTGTACACCACACCCTGCAGTCTACCACACTCTCCTCTCCTCTATGAAGAAGCTCCCTGTAACGGATACAAGAAAAGAGGCAGGAAAGTGTGTTTTGGGGTGTGGGTTGTGGGAAGTGGAATGGGGTTTGAAAGGGGAGGGAGGAAGATGATAAGGAAAACGCTTTCTTCCGCTGGATGAAGAACATTCCATTGACGAGTATGGGAAGATTGGAGGCAGGAGGGTGTAGTTGGGGCGTGAGTCAGGGGAGGAGGCAGGATAGGTGTGGAAGGAAAAGGGTTGGTGGGTAAGGCGTGGGGTGGGGGAGGGGGTGCTTTGCGGTAAAAAAGGGAGGAAGATAATGCGAAGGTAAAGGAGAGGAACAAATGGTGGAATTGAAAAGGGTTTTAGAGCAAACACTATATTCTGTATAAGAGAGTCTACCAATATAACAAAGAGGAAATGGCAAGGTGAGAAAGAAAGGGCACGGGCGAAGAGAGGACACTGCGGGTGTACGGTCGTTTGTATGATCATGACCGCATTGTATCGCACCGCACCACACTGGCGGGCAGTGGGCACCAGTGCAAGCCATCGAAATCCACCACATCTCACCAGAACTCACCGCACAGCACCGCATCACACACCTGTCTATCTTGGCAACCAAGCCTGGATCGGGATCATGCACGAACAGGAAGGGACCTCCCCCAGAAGAACCTTCCTCAGAGGCACCTCCTTGAGAAGCACCACCAACGACTGATGCACCTCCCTCAGAAGAAATTCCCATGGTCATGTTTTGCCAGAGGGAGGAGTTGACAGGAGGCATCTGCAGTGGGGATATAGAGAGGGGGAAAGGCAGGTGTAAGTACCAGCAAGTTAGAAAAAAAAAAAAACAAAAAAAAAAAACAAACAAAATGGCCGTAATCATGCACCTTGAGTACCAGAATGCACGAACATGTTTTTGCACCTTCCTTTTTGAAGCGCCTTGCGTATTTCTCGAAATAAAAAATTCAGCATAGTTTTGCACCTTTGAGTACTACCACAATGCACGAGCAGAAAAGCACCTCCCTCAGAAGAACCTCCGATAAAGCCACACCGACGTGCTTGTAACGAATGGGCGGGTGGAACATTGTGCAACATCTCAGTCGGTCTACGTGGCTGAATGAAAAGGCCCATTGATGTGATTGAAACGGGATCTCTTGTGCAGCGTCATGCCCTTGTGTGACTGTAAAGGGTCGGAGGTGCAGGCCACTCACTATTCACCATGACTGACTGTAATGTCTATCTGCGCGCTTGTAACATACAACCAGTGCATTATGCAACTGACCTCGTGCGGTTGTGTGACTGTAAAGGGCGGGAAGTGCAGGCCACTGTTCACGACCGTGTGATTGAACCGGGCGGCCTGGCAGGCGGCGGTTGGCATGTAGTGCAGGTGGGGCGAGAGTGTGTCTCCCAGGAACATGAGCATTCGGCGTGGGATCGCGTGTGGTTCGTCGATCAGGTAGCGGATGAACGGCCGAGATGCGAAGAGAGGGAAGGAGCCTGTGTGAGTGGGGGGCGAGAGGGGAGGGCAGGAGGTGAAGGAACGGAGCAAGAGGGGGAAGAGGTAGGAGAAGGAGCGGAAGGGCATGAGCAGGGGAGCAAGAGAAGGGTGGCAGGAGGAAAGAGAGGGAAGGCGAGGAGCAGACGGGGTGGGAGGGGGCCTTGAAGGACCTTAGCAGAAGGGGAGGGGCAGTGCGAGGGGGTTTTCAGGATGGGAGGGCGGATGGGTGGACGGTAACACCCACCAGTGTAGACCTCGAATCTGGTAACCCTATCGCGCATATCGGCGATCCATCGCCCCCCCCTCCGCCTCTCAAACAGCGCATTGTCTGCAAACACACTCTCCTGGCGGTAGCTGCTTGGTTGGGAAGGTGGGGGGGGGAGGGGGAGAGGTACACGCTTTCAGCCTAGCTTCGCTATAGCTGCTCCCTGAGAATTATGTCCGAAGATCGTCTCAAAAAATCCCTGCAGGGTTAAAGAGCTCTCATCTCTTTTCGCTGGGCCTGGGACAAGGCAATCTCTGCAAAGTGGGTCAATAACAATCCAACACGTGGTCCATGCAGGAGAGGCTGAGTAAAATCAACTCAAATCAAGTCAACTCAAGTCAACACAGGTCAAAGATTTCACACCAGCTCCACTCACTCGAATCGGCGGTCAAGTGCATGATCCATGAATGAGAAGCGGTGGTCAAGGAAAGTCAACACAGGTCCACTCACTCGAATCGGTGGTCAACCACATGATCCATGAAGGAGAGGCGAGTTCAAGTCAAGCCAGGTCCACTCAGGTCAACGCAAGTCAACACCAGTCAGAGCGACTCACTCGAATCGGTGGTCAACCACATGATCCATGAATGAGAGGCGAGGCGAGACAGAGGAGAGAAGCCAAAGGAGCTCTGGTGGGGAGAGACAGAAGGAGGGGAGGGGGGGGGAGGAGGGTTGAGTTGTCAAGTAAGACTGGAGGAGAGGGCAGGGAAGCATGGAAGGGTTGTGGGGAAGCATGGAACGACATGGTCCGTGAATGAGAGGCGAGGCGAGGCGAGACGGCGGGGAGCAGCCAAAGGGTTGAGTTGTGTATCATATGCGCCAAAGAGTTGCATATGATGTGAAAGAAGAGAAGCGCATGGAGGTACATGGTGGCATGGAGCACCGCACAGCACCGCTCTCACCTGTCTCACCAGGCGGCATTCCTCTGCAGCCTGCAGCACTTTTCATTGCCCTTACGATTACCCCTCCTCACCGCTCATCACCTCACAGCACCACTCACCATCCTGCGTCACCAGCGGGTAATCCTCTGCACCGAGAAGCACCAGCCACTGCCATCCACTCGCTCCGCCTCTCCTCTTCCCCTCTTCTACGCTCCTCTTCTCCCCCTCCCCCAATCCCTTTTCGCTCCCCTTTATTCCTTTCTCCCCCTCCCCTTTCCCCTCCTTCTCCCCTTCCCCCTCTCCCTGCTCCTCCTTTCCCACCGCCTCCCGCTCCCCCTCCACTTCCGCCTCACCCATGCGCAGCAGCGTGTGCGCCAGGCGCAGCAAAGCAGCCAGACGCGACCCGCCCTCTAGAGTCACAATCTCCGGATCCTCTATCACGCGTATCCGTCCCGTTACAGTTACATATTCCTCACTCCTGCCTGTGTCCGTCACCTCCGCCGCCCCTGCTGCTTCCACTGCTGCCGCCAGGACGGGGTGGCCGGCGAGTTTTGTCCGTAGCGCGAATGCTGAGTCAGCATCGTCTATGTACACGGCATAGAGGTTCCGGGGATGGTAGACGGCCAATAGGAGGCGATAGATTCGATCCGTGTCGTTTTTCGAACCTGCGTGGGGAGAAAGGAAGCGGAGAGAGGGAGGGAGAAGGATGAGGGAGGAGTGAGGGAGGAGGAAGGAGGGATGAGAGAAAGTGCACGAAAGTGAGGGAGGAAGGGGAGGGAGTGTTGGTTCTTGGAACCTGTGTGGAAGAGACGGGTTTAGGAGTGCTATTATTGTGAGGGTCACTACTCTCTTAGAATGAAATGACGGAGCATGTGCGCGTATGCGCTGTATCCGCGCACGTGCCATATCGGCGCACGTGTCGTATCCGCGCACGTGCCATATCGGCGCACGTCTCGCATCCGCGCACGCGCCGCATGTGCGTAAGGGCCTCGGGAAAGGTAAAGGAGGCAGCATCTCCGCGCACGTGATGTATGCTGATGTTACTTTTGAGAATTCACAAATGTAACATCAACGTGATGCATGCGCGCATGTCATGTATCCGCTTACGTACCCATGATTCCATACGCGAGGGACGGGACGAAATCCTCGTTATTAGCCTCCCTCAGCTCCTGTGCAGCACCTTGCTGACGTGCTGACACACTCGCAGATCCCCGAAGCTTCCCAGAAGCTACGAGGGCGCGCAGCATCGGGAAATCCCAGGGATCCCCCTCCCATATCGAGGTGGATGTGCTTAAAAATAAAATGTTACACAAAAGAAGTGTGCATATAACGAGGTAGATCGCGAGTTCTCGCACGCTGTGCTCGCCTAGGATCGCGAACTTCGTCGGCAACGGGTTACCAGCGCTGGAACCGTGCGCTGGTTGCTCGTGTGCGAGCTTCGCCATGCTCGTCACAATCTCGTTTGTCCGACTAATAACTCGTTAAATGGCGACCCGATACACGTCCAGCATATGCAGAATGTTCAAGTAAGACTAGCAGCGGGCTACACGGAACGTAGTAGTGAATATTAAACGAAGCGGACAGGACGGAGAGTAACGACACGATCGATGCCTGAGCAAATAGAGCTGGGTACGAAACGCTGCTTGGCCGTCATTAATACTGACGTGGCAGGCGGACACGAGCCGCAAAAAAAAAAAAACTCACTACGCTCTGACGCAATCTGTAATTTAGGACCGGGTCAGACTTTATCTCCTGTGTAACGAAATTACTAGGTGGTGCGTTGAACTAATTTCTGTACGGAGTAGTTCTAGCGACACGATAGTAGTACAAATTTCTGTCCGTGGGGCTGATTTGTTCTGCACGCAGCCATCCAGATTCTTGCCAAGGCAAGGTAACCGATTGACTAGGGTAGGATGGGAGGGGAGGGGAGTTTGTTTATCGAGCCGCATTGCTATCCAGTGGGGCCTGTGATAGAAACGATATCAGCTGGCGCCTTGTGACTAGTGTTACTAAAGCGAGACCCTTGCTCTGGTCGAAGCCACCCAAGGTTCGCTCGGACCTAGTCGGGATAGGTTTGACCACCAGCCGCCAACCAATACGAGCGAATATGTTTGGCTCGGATAGATCACTGATTGGTTGTGCGCGTCACAAGCAACCATACAAACCTCGCTTGGCGGCTTGACGGTGCGCGTTCATACCAAAGTGGTGCAGCATCTGTGAGTGAAACGAGATCATTAGTTCAAGATAGAATGAACCATCTCACTTCCATTCATGCGTACCAGGAAAGGAAGTATGGATAATATGATGTATAGAATATGTTTTAGCCGAGTATTCCTCCTAATACGTCAGCAAACCGACACCTCCTTCCAAAAGGGCCTTTGCTAGGCTGTTGTGAAGGTCATTGCCTAACGATACCACCTAATGACGCATAAAAACGTACTGAACCGCACTGCACTAAGCTTGCTCGGCTGACGTACCCCATCAGGTCCACAATAGAACCCAATAAAACCGCATCAAAGTGAATGCGACGCGCCAATAAGACAGCAGTACCCGTCAGCACACAGACAGATTCGTCTTAAGTAATTAGAACTCGAAACCGGCTTTCCCAGCCAATCAGAGCCCGTCCCGCACTAGATATCCACCGTCCATAGGCCAACAATCCGCCGTCCGTAGCGCCGTGCGCCGCGCCGTTTATGGCGCACGCGCTTCGTTTCGTGGATTTCGATGGGGGGTTTTCAGCTCGCGTGCTTGGGAATGCGATTCGCGATCCCGTTGCCCCAGGGAGCGGTCCCAGAGGGGAAGCGAAACAATACATGTACTTATCCCGGCCTCCCTTTTTTTCAGTCACACCTATTTTACGGAGCAATATATCTCCTCGTTCCAGACGCACGACGCTAATACTAGAATTACCTACAGTCTCTGCTCTCCGCGCCCACGCTTCTTGGCGCTGAGTTATAATACACGATATAATCTCCGAGCTACAATCAGCAGAATAGTTCTTCTCCCCGCGTTTTATCTTCTGTTTAAGCGAAGCAACCATGGCTACGGTTCGGCCGGTGGGTCTTCCTCCTGGGCGGGACACGGGAGGGACTTCGTCCGTATGGCGTTTCTTCCTCGTTCTCTCCCTTGTCCTTCCCCTCTCGCTCGTCTCTCCCGTGGACTCTAAGAAGATCTTCAGCCCGCGTGAGTTCTGCTGCTTTCTCCCTCCTTTCTCTCGCTCCTCTCTCCCTTCTCGCTCGTCCCTCCCCTCTTTCACCTCTCGCCCCTCTCGCTCCCCTCTCGCTCGTCTCTCCCGTCCATTCCTAGACGATCTTCAGCCCCCGTGAGTTCTGCTGCTTTCTCCCTCCCTCCTCATTCTGTCCTTCCTCGTTCTCTCCCTTGTAGCTCTCCTCTCTCTCCTCTCGCTCCTCTCTCTCCTCTCGCTCGTTTCGCCCGTCCATTCCAAGAAGACCTTCAGCCCCCGTGAGTTGCTCTTTCTAAACTAGTTGCTGGCAACGCTACTATGGCCATGGGTCGGCCTCGTCCTGGGTGACTGGATCGCTTCCCGGCGGCCCAAGGCGACCCAGAGCTAACCAGATCGACCCAGAGCGACCTAGGGCGAACCAGAGCGACTCAGAGCGACCCAGGGCGACCCAGGACCAGTCACCTTCTTGAGGCGAATCACCAGTCGTCGTGGCGGGTGGGTCCCCTCCCTGGACAGGGCGTGCCATGTCAGGGACTTGGTCCATGAGGTTATGTTATGCTACTTTTGAGGTTTCTTCAAAAGTAACACAACATAATAAAAGTGTAGTTTTGAGACGTCTCAAAACTACACTTTTATCACGTGGCTATGTTATGCTACTTTTGAGGTTTCTTCAAAAGTAACATAACATAACACCAGTATAGTTGGCCGGTGGGTCCCCTCCCTGGACGGGGCAGGCCATGCCACGTCAGGGACTTGGTCTGTGTGGCGCTTTATTGGCGTTTTGGGTCGCCTCAAAACACTGCGGGTGGGTCCCCCAGCTGGACGGGACAGGCCATTTCAGGGACTTGGTCCGTGTGGCACTTAAGTGGCTCGTTTAATGGTTCGTTCGTACCCTCTATGTAAGCTGCTGCTCGCTCAGTCTTCCTGAACGTCTTAGTGTGCGGTGCCAATAGGCAGATGCACCCGTGCAGATGGCTTCTCTCCTTACCCTCTCCTCTCCCGTTCCCCCTTTCGTCCCTTCTCCCTGCGTCTTCTCCAGCAATCTCAGCCCTAAGTGCCATGCTTCCTGAACGTCATAGTGTGTGGGGTGAACGGCCAGATGTACCCGTGCAAGGGAGATGGCTCCCAAGGGGATATTCGGCTTACCGTCTCCTGTCCCTTTCCCACCCTTCCCTGTCCCAAGGGGATATTCGGCTTACCCATCCTTCCCTCCTGTCCCTTTCCCACCCTTCCCTGCTTGCTCACCCATCTCTGCCCTCCACCAGCCCCCGCCCAGCCCATAATCATGTGCTCATTGAACGTCATAGTGTGCGGGGCGAACGGCCAGATGTACCCGTGCAGGGAGATGGCTCCCAAAGGAATGACCACCACCACCGACCTCTCTAAATGTCGCCCCCCTGGCGGTGAGTTGAACGCGTAACCCTAGGTGTGTTGAGTGCGGTGGTGTGCGGTGCCAATGGGCTGTACCAATGCCAGATGTACCCGTGCAGGGAGATGGCGCCTAAGGGAATGGCTACCACCAACGACCTCACTAAATGTCGCCTTCCTGGTGGTGAGTTGAACACGGTGGTGTGTGGTGCCAATGGGTGATGATTGCTAGATGTACCCGTGCAGGGAGATGGCGCCCAAGGGAATGGCAACTTCCGCCGACCTCACCAAGTGCCGGCCGCCTGGTGGTGAGTCCTGCCCGCTCCTAGCCTTAGGTGTTGACTGCGGTGGTGTGCGGTGCCAGTGGGTGGTGGTGTGCGTGCCAGTGGGTGGTGGTGTGCGTGCCAGTGGGTGGTGGTGTGCGGTACCAATGGGTGGGTGATGGTGGGTACTTGTAAAGCTCACCCCCTCTCCCTCATCTCCTCCTGACAGATGAGGAGTCAGATGACCCTATCTGTCATCTCCTCCCCACCTTTTACTCCAATGACAGATGTGATCGTGACGTGTTTTGAGACGTCTCACAACACAGATGACAGATGTGATGGTGACGCAACGCCATCGGATTCTCAGCGCGGTGCTATAACCACCCCTGGTGCTCCAAATTCGCAGACCTCACTCTCCTCCTCACCTCCACGTCGCCACGTGTCTCCTCAATATCTTTCCCCCCTCTCACCCCCCCTCTCATCCCCCTCCACACACCCTTTACTCAGATGTGATCGTGACGCCGTCAGAAGCCCAATGCCCCGTTAAAGCCCCCAAGGTGCGTGCTTACACCGATCATAGATTTATGTGTGTAAAAATGGTGGAGGGGTGGGAGAGGCGGGGAATGATGTTTAAGTGGGGGGGAAAGGGGGGTTATGACTGCTGGTGGTTGGGGTGTCGACTAAAGACTGTTCTTTTACAGGTGTGTGCTAGTGACGGGAGGAACTACCCCTGTGCTGACGTGGCACCCAAGGGGCTGCTGACAACGACTGACCTCAGTGCTTGCCAGACACGTAAGTGTTTTTGCTGCACCAATTGCTTCCTGCCACGTGGACATGCAAGAATGACACATCACTCCAGCTCGCACTTGGATTTTATGGAAAATAATATTCAAGTTTTTCTCTTTCGGACCTCCATCTCTCACTTCCTTTCCTGTTCCTCTCCCTCCACCCAATCCACAGCTGCCACGTGTCCCTGGTCCACGTCAGCATACAGCAAATCCAGCCTGGCACTCTTGGCCACTGCATGCAGCACCCTCAATCCCTCCTCCTCTTCCTCCTCCACACCACTTCCCATCACCTCCTCTCTGATTGGCTGTTGTGCTGCCACGTCAGCGCTCCTCCAATCCACCGCCATCGCCACGGCAAAGGTTAAATCGCCGAGGGTAAATACCCCTGCGGTTTACGATGCCCGTGCCGGGCAGTGTATGAAAGAGTTTGTACCCTTTGTACAATCGCCCAAAGCGGCATTCACAGCAGCTACAGCAGCAGCAGCTGCTGCACTTTCAAAGTTTAATCCGGTGCTACAGTGCGGGCGGTTGGGGTTTGGGGCGGCACAATTTGGACTGGAGGGAGGCAAGGGGGCGTGCAGGGGGATTACTACGGAAGCCCAGGTGAGAGGGGAGTGTGAGAGGAGAGGGAGAAGGGCGGGTTTGATGCAGTGTGAGAGGGAAGAGAGAGGAGTGAAGATGGATGAGGGAGGGGAGAGATGGGCAGAGAAACGGGCAGAAAAGGAGGGCAAGGGGGCGTATGGAGGGTTACCACAGAGTCCGAGGTGAGAGGGAGTGTAAGAGGGGGTGTGAGCAGGAACACCCACTACCTTTCTCCCCCCAATCTTCCCCCTATCTCCCATTACTCCCCCCATTCTTCCCTGCGGTCTTCACCAGCTCACATCCGCGTTAAAAGCTTCCCCAGTATGGTGGGTGAGCAGCTACATGAAAAAGGACTGCAGCAGCACCACGGGTAGCAATGGCCGCTGCTCAGACTGTGCCAAGCAAGTGTCTACCCTCTTTGGTGAGTCTCTATGTGTGTGAGCCATGTGTCTGTGTGTTTGTAATTCGGTAAGTCTGCAGCAGCACCATGGGCAGCACGGGTCGCTGCTTGGACTTCGCAAAACAAGTCTCTACCCTCTTTGATGAGTCTGTTGGTGCTTGTGATTCCACTAACAAAAACACACAGCGAGTGAGTCCTAAAATGAGTCATTCCTAATGAGACTTCTAAAAACACTCCATGGGTCACAGACAGTCTGATTCCAAACCACCACACTCTGAACCACCACACTCCGAACCACCACACTCCGAACCACCACACTCCGAACCACCACACTCCGAACCACCACACTCTGAACCACCACACTCCGAACCACCGCACTCCGAACCACCACACTCCGAACCACCACACTCCGAACCACCGCACTCCGAACCACCACACTCCGAACCACCACACTCCGAACCACCACACTCGTCCACCGCACTCGTCCACCGCACTCGTCCACCGCACTCGTCCACCGCACTCGTCCACCGCACTCGTCCACCGCACTCGTCCACCGCACTCGTCCACCGCACTCGTCCACCGCACTCGTCCACCACACTCGTCCACCCCCTCCCTTTTGTTTTTTTTTGTTTTCTCTCCTTCCATCACCCTAAACCCTGGGAACACACGATGACTCAGAAGCAGCGCTGCAGGGCTTCAATCTCCTACTGTGCGGCGGCTGTGACAACCAGCTGCCCTACTCCAGGCGTCACATGCTCACACGCTTGCTCACATGAACCCCAAACCCTCTTCCCTCACTTTTTCCCTCCTCTGCTCACCCCTCCTTGCCAGATGCCCTTGTTCGCCCCAGGGACTCAGTGCCTCAGAAGCACCGCTGCTGGGCTTTAATGTCCTACTATGCCGCGTCTTCACTCGGCAACTCCACTGCCCAAAGCAACGGCATCGCTTTCTGCCTGCATAAGAACGCTCCTGCCTCCCTCCTGCCTCCTGGGACCAGCATCAAGACAGCCACTATCACGGCGCCTACTATTAAGCCTGCGGCGACTGTTAAGCCTCCTAGTCTGCCTCCTGTCAAGCCTACTATTAAAGCCGCTTTCGACGCTGCTGATTTCCAGCCAATCGGAGACACCCTTCCACGTCAGCAGGTCCTGGATGCTTCCCCAACCTCCACCTTCCGCGCCGCAGCCGACACGTCACCAAGCGCCAGCTCAGCGCCGTCCACGTCAGTGCGGTCCACGTCAGCAACGGCGATAATCCTCGCCAGCGTGGCGCTGGCGGTTCTGCTGGCAGCAGTCGTGGCAGCTACAATCCTAGCTGTGAGGGGAGCACGGCACCACATGCACAGGCAGCGACTCGCCTCCTCCATCTCTGTCTATCCTAGTGGTTCCGTCTCCGCTGCGGCTTTAAGTGCCGGCACGCCCCTTAAAGCCTCGGTTTCGAGGTCGGAGGCGTGGGGCGGGTCGGAAGATCGGGGTGGGTCGTCGGGAGTGAGTGAGGGAGGGTTGTCGAGGGAGGGATCTGTGTCTTCCTTGGTTGGCTTGATGGGAGGTTCTGCTGCAAGTGATGTGTCTCACTCTCCTGCAGCAGCAGCAGTGCCGGTAGCATTGGAATTGCAAGCCGCAGCGCCATCACCATCAGCATCACCAGCGGCAGCACCAGCACCAACAGCAGCGGTGGGGAAAGACGTGCGTGCATCACGATTTGTTATGGATGCAACTGCAGCTGCACCCGCAATGCCAGAAGCAGCAGCAACCACAGCAACAGCTGGAGGTGCAACAGCAGCGGCAGCACCTGCAGCAGCAGCGGCGGCGGCTGCGGCGGCGCGTAAGCCTGTCCTCCCTCGCCTGGCAAGCGCACTCTCTACCGGCTCGTTTGCTAGCAGCTTTCACTCCCCTGTGCGGCGCCGGGCACCAGTGCTTGCTGCTGCTGCTGCTGCTCCTCCTTCCACCCCTATCAAGCTGGCGGCACCCAAGGGAGTTGAGAAGTAGCAGTGTGAGGGAGGGGATGGCAGGTGAGTTGATCAGTGGAGCAAGCTGAACGGGCAGATAGAGCGATAGAGAAACGGGGATAAGGCAGAGGGTGAATGAGGCAGTGATGGGGGGTTGTGAAGTGAGGGAAAAAAGAGCAGCAGAGGAGCAGAGCAAGCAGCCAGTCACAGAGGTTAGACTAAGGCATTGGTGGAGTGAAGGGTTAGCATTCGGTCGGGAAGCGAGGCGCACTAAGTTATTTCGTAGAGTTTCTATCCCGGATTACCGGTAGTTCTGTTTTTGGTTGCAACATGTTCAGTGCAGGATATACAATAAAAATGGAGAGTGCAAGGCTCTATTAGTGCTATAGACTATGTGTGGATGTTGTGTGAAGCCTTGGCATTGCTCGTGCTAGAATCCACGTTAGGAAAACTGTGTGTGTTCTTTATCTTTGTGCTTGTGAATGCATCTTTTTTAACCAGTTCTGCTATCGGTACCGGTACTTGTTTTTTTTTTTATTCTCCAGTACCGTTCTAGTACTTGCACTGCACAATTGGAGATCTTGCTCTTTATGTTCACATCATGCTGTCAAATTATATATATGCTACATATGTCTAGGCTATAGTGGGGTAGCCAATATGGGGTAAAGCCCCTTTAGGGTTTCATACTTACACAACTCTTTCCTAGTTCATTCATTCCTGCCTAGCATTTCAGACATGGTTTCAGAGCAGTAGGTCCGTAGGACCGTCTTACTTCGGGCCCACCTACCGTTGCAGCTACCACGCTGCCCCACCTGCCTTGCTTGCCTGGCATGCGCTGCGCCTCACGCGCGCGCCCTGCCTTGCCTGCGCTGCGCTGCCCGCACGCGCTGCCTTTTTTTTCGCGCGCGCCACTCTAGCAGCCCGCGCAGCCCGCTGCTGCCCCGCGCGCCGCCTTAGGAGCCCGTGCACGGCCCGCTGCTGCCCCGCGCACCACCCTAGCCACTTGCGCGCCGCTCCAGCAGCTCGTGCGCCCCCACTGCAGCCTTGCGCGCAGCTTCTCCTGGCCTGCACTCTGCTTTGCCGCCTGCGCGCTACTCTTGCCTGCGCTGCAATCATGGCGACTCTAAATTGTCAGAACATATAGCTTACTTGTTTGTGTAGGCTATAGTGGGGTATCCCATAGGGGGTACAACACATTAGGGTTTCCTATTTGTATTCACTTCACTTCATAGTCATCCATTCTCGTTCTTTGTTTCCACATGGAATCACAGCAGGTTCCCTCCTAGGGACTGCTTCTAGGGCCCACCGAACCGCGCCCCGAGGCGCGTTTTTTTAGCGACCCGTCGTGTCGCCCCTAGCGGCCCGTTGCGCCGCCCTTCCCCTAGCGGCTCCGCCGCCCTTCCCTAGCGGCCCCGCCGCCCTTCGATCGCGGCCCCGCCGCCCTCTGCTACGCGGCCCCACCGCCGCCCTTCGATCGCGGCCCCGCCGCCCTCGGCTACGCGGCCCCGCCGCCCTCTGCCACGCGGCCCCGCCGCCCTCTGATACGCGGCCCCGCCGCCCTTCGATTGCGGCCCCGCCGCCCTCTACTACGCGGCCCCGCCGCCCTCTGCTACGCGGCCCCGCCGCCCTCTACTACGCGGCCCCGCCGCCCTCTGCTACGCGGCCCCGCCGCCCTCTGCTACGCGGCCCCGCCGCCCTTCGATCGCGGCCCCGCCGCCCTCTGCTACGCGGCCCCGCCGCCCTCTGCTACGCGGCCCCGCCGCCCTCTGCTACGCGGCCCCGCCGCCCTCTTCGGTCGCGGCCCCGCCGCCCTCTGCTACGCGGCCCCGCCACCCTCTGCTACGCGGCCCCGCCGAGCCGCCCAGCATCAGCCGAGCCGCCCAGCAGCAGCCGAGCCGCCGCCGAGCCGCCGCCGCCTGAGCCGCCGCCCGGGCCACCTGAGCCGCCGCCCGAGCCGCCGCTGAGCTGCGGCCGAGCCGCCGCCCGAGCAGCCCGAGCCGCCCGTGCCGCCCGAGCCGCCCGAGCCGCCCGAGCCGCCCGAGCCGCCCGAGCCGCCCGAGCCGCCCGAGCCGCCCGAGCCGCCTGAGGAGCCGTGCTGCTGTTCCTGAGCTGTGTTCCTCTGCTGCTGACCTACCCGACTCTCCCAGCCCGGTGAGACTTTCAGCTGCTGCCATGGCCACCCCCAATGTTCTTACTTTTGACGCTGAGGGGAGGGCCATTGACTTTGCCGTCTGGATTGAAGACCTGCAGCTGTACTTACTGTGTGATGCGATAGATGAGGTCTCTCTCTTTGACTTTGTCTCTGGCGCTGTCCCTGCCCCACCTGCTGATGCTGACTCTGCCGTTCGCTCCAAGTGGGCGACCCGCGATGCTGCTGCACGTCTTGCTGTGCGTCGCCACCTCCCTTCCTCTGAGCGTGCCCACTTTAGTCAGTGCAAGACCGCTCAGGCCTTGTACGACGCTGTAGTTGCACGCTACTCCTCCCCTTCCTCCGCTACCCTTAGCCGCCTCATGCTACCGTTTCTCTTCCCTGACCTCGCTTCCTTTCCCACTGTCGCTGACCTCGTTACCCACCTCCGTGCTAGTGACACCCGCTACCGCGCTGCCCTTCCTGCTGAGTTCCGCGCTGCGAACCCTCCTCCCATGTACATCACTCTCTACTTTCTCGTCACCCGTCTCCCTGAGTCCCTTCGTGTCGTTAGGGACCAGTTTCTCTCTGTCTGTCCCACCACTCTCACTGTCGACCTCCTTGAGGAGTCCCTGCTAGCGGCTGAGAAGAGTATTGTCGCTGTAGGGGCCTCTCGGGGTGACCCTCGCACCCCCATCTTTGAGGGGTGTGGTCCTTCCCCCCTGCTGCCCTCTGTCGCCTCTGCCGCTGCGGCCGACCTCACTGGTTTTGAGTCGGTCGGCGCGGCGTCTGCCCCCAGCGGCAGACGCCGCTCTGGCAAGGGCAAGGGGGGCAAGGGAGCGGGTGGAGCTAGAGGGGGCGGTGGAGGAGGCGGTGGGGGTGGCGGGGGGAGTGGGGGTGGCGGTGGGGGTGGTGGCGGGAGTGGAGGTACTGGTGGCGGCGGTGGAGGCGGAGGTGGCGGCGGAGGTGGTAGCGGAGGAGGCGGTGGGAGCGGTGGGAGCGACGGTCCTGGTGGGGGAGGTGGAGGTGGAGACGGGGGTGGCGGTGGAGGCGGGGGTGGCGGTGGAGGCGGGGGTCGGAGTGGCTCGTCCCAGCGGAGCAGCTCTGGGGGTGGTCAGCGCCAGCAGCAGCAGCAGCAGCAGCCGCAGCAGCAGCCACAGCAGCAGCAGCGCTCTCGCACCGTCCCCGCCCCTCAGCAGCTCCGTGAGTGGTACTCGCAGCGTCAGCGTGGTGGTGCGCTTGGTCCTTGCCCCTACGTTCTTCGCACCGGTGACCGTGCAGGGGAGAGGTGTGGAGGCGCCCACACAGCCCGCCGCTGCTTTGGCCGCCTGACTGACGCCTGGCGTCAGCAGTTTCCGGAGGCAGCTGAGATCCCCCGCTGGGGAGAGCTGTCTAGGGCTGGTGTAGCTATTTATGATCTTGATTTTGATGATATTCTCTCTGCTATGTATGCTGCGATTGGTAGTGATGAGGATGACTGTTACCGGTGTTTCCCGCCCGACCCGGGCATTGGTACTGCCGCGTCAAGTACTAGTGAGGCTGCTGCTCTAGGTGCCAGTGCGTCTGTGCTCTCAGGTGCTGGTGAGTCTGCCCTCTCAGGTACTGTGTCGGCTTCGGCCTCTCACACCTTCACCCTTGACTCTGGAGCGTCTCGCTCCTTCTTTAGGGACCGCACCACTCTCACGCCGCTGAGTCGGCCGGTTGCGGTGTCCCTGGCTGACCCCTCTGGGGGGCCTGTCCTGTCTCGCTTCTCCACTGTCCTCCCGTGTCCGGCGGCCCCCTCTGGCACCCTGACTGGTCTTTACCTCCCCTCGTTCTCGACGAACTTGGTGAGTGGTGCTGACCTCCAGGATGCGGGTGTCCACCAGTTCACCCCTGCTCGTCAGCGGGTGACCCACTGCACGGAGGCGGATACAGGTCGCCACCTGGCTACGTTTACACGTCGGCCAGGGTCGAGCCTGTACACACTGACCACTGCTTCTCCTCCAGGTGCTGAGTCTGGTCAGGTGTTTGCTGCAGCGTCCAGGTCTGGTCCTGAGTCTGCCCCCTGCTCGTGCCGTCGTCTGTCTCACGAGACCCTCCTCTGGCACCACCGCCTTGGCCACCCCTCTCTGCTTCGGCTCAGAGGCATGGCCTCGCGAGTCCTTGTGTCTGGTCTTCCCCGGTCTCTCCCTCCCCTTCCTCCGGGCCCTGGCCCCACCTGTGTCCCCTGTGTCGAGGGGCGCCAGCGTGCTGCCCCTCACTCCTCCCAGTTTCCTCCGACAGAGGCCCCGTTGCAGACGCTTCACAT